TACCAGCTTTTCCGCTATAATATTTTTATGAAAAGTTCCCGGTAGTACATCCATGGCCTAGTGGTTAGGGCTGCTGCATGCCAATCTGAAGGTCCGGGTTCGGATCCCCGGCGGGTCAGACTTTTTGCTTTTTACTCAGAAGATTCATCCGTATTTTCTAAGCTGGTCTAGCCGTTTAAAAATCGACTTCTCGGTATCTTTGTTCTCCAAAAATCAGCACTTTGCCTCGAGGGCATTCCCCCCTCTTTTTCCTTGTCTCGAGGGGCGTCTATGTAAATTCTAGGCGGGAATGCAAATATTGGCCTTTCCCTCCGGGGGGGCCTCTACCCGGCAAAGCGTTACGATATTTTATTCCCTTTCGGCCAGCTAAATCCTGAAAAATCGATATGCCGAGAGGCTACACAATACAACCTACCAATTCTAAGCATTCCAAAAATTCTAAAATTCCTAAAAACGCTCAAAATTCCTTTAATTCTCAGCAATTCAATAATCTACAGTATCTCCACTATGGAATGGTAAGTTTTAAAAATTTTACAAACTATAGAACATTTTTAAAATGGTAAAAATTGCATTTTTTCGAATTTTTAGGGGTTACGGTAGCTTTAAAAAGTGCTAAAGATGCAATATTTTTTGATGTATCGATGTCATTCCTGTCAGTTTAAATAATGCACTATTTTTGAAAAAAAACCAGTTGCTTTTAAAAACTGATTCTTCGAATTTTGGTGGTTATTGTAGTTTGCAAAATCTCTAAAAATTAGGAATTTTAAAATTTTTTAGTGTTTTTTCCAGGCAGTTTAAATAACCGAGCACTTTTTGCCTGCCAAGTTCCTTAAAAAACCCGTTTTCCCAGTATTCCGTCTTTTTTTCGGAAATTCAGGGCGTACTGATTGTTGACACGTACTTTCCCTGCGTCTCTCTCTCTCTCTCTCTCTCTCTCTCTTCTATTGTAAACTGTCCCCCCACCTGGTTATACTAAAAGCCTAAACTGCCATCCCCTCTTCTTTCCGTCTCTTTTTCCATTCCATTCCTAACAACACCCTCCCCTCCCCCGACCCCAAAATATTTATTTTGCCCTACCAAACTCTCGGGCTAGCGTCATTTTATCGATCATTTCCGTTGGCCAAAAGCTTTAATGGCAGGCAGTTTCGCATTTTTTAAATTTTAAAATTTTTTAAACGATTACGACATGTATTTCTAGGTAAAAAATAGCGAATTTAGCGTTAAACTCAACTATTATGCTGTTTAATAATTCCTTTCATCGATTTGTCAAAGACAATGGCCAGGAATCGATTACGACATGTGATTTTCGATCGATAAAACGCGTTTTCTAATGCATTACGGAATGTATTTCCAGGCTTAAAATTGCACAAATCCACCGAAACAAAATAGAATTTTGACTTATTTGCTTTTTGGAATCGATGCCTATATCCAATTACGATAGGTAATTGTACTCATTTTTATGCTCCTTAAAACGTGTTCGAATCGCTTAAATTCAATAACTCCATATAATTCAAATCCAAAAATAGCTGTATTCCGTGTAAATAATTACTTTTGATGTTGGTCTCCTAAAACCGATTCCGCAAGGTAACTCCAGGTCCGGAAATTAGCTTAGTTTTACCATCGAAATCCCTATTCTCATCTGCATTTCACCATTAATAATTAGGGGGCGGCGTTCAGTTATGACAAACAACGCAGGGCCCTAAAATACACTATCCCGGGGCTGAGATTAGTACAAATTGGGTTGGCTAGAGAGAGAGAGAGAGAGAGAGAGAGAGAGAGAGAGAGAGAGAAGAGGGAGAAAGAGAGAGAGTCGCGAGAAATGAGAGATATCGAAAGTACAAGCGCCCTCCAGGATAAACTGGCATTTTGAGGATTTCTCTCTAGGTCATAACAGATTTTTTTTATCGCTAATTCTCATGAAATCTCACCATTTTTGTGTAAAATGAGAGCCAGTTTACCTTCTCAAAATCACCAAATTAGTTATATTCGAAAAATAAAGTTTTTAAGGTCAGATTTAACTCGAGTTTTAGATTAACTGACTGCCAGTGGATCATCTTAAATTTACTAAATCGGCTTTTGCAACAAAATTGGGAATTAAAAGCCAGTTTTAGCCCAGGTTCAAGTAAACTAACCGTCAATAAACGCGATAAGCTCCTCAGAATCAAGATACGTTCTAGAACGCAAGAATTACGTCTATTTTGCGATATTCTGAACGTCAGTTCACTTTCTAAAAATCACCAAATCGGTCTTTTCTCGAAAACCGTGGATTGAGCCGGACTTTAGAGACACTTCGGGCCAAGGCTCGCCATACAAACAGTCAACTGACTAAAAAAGCCCCGTTTTGAAACACTAGGAATTTTATGTTTTTACAAACCGCAATCTTTGCCAAATTTTAGCGCCAAAATCCACGTTTTAAAAACAATCCTTGAATTTCCGAGTAAACTGTCTGGCAGTCTTCACGTTTCGAAAGTAATCAGCCTCTATTTTTCCCGGCTCTTCATTTCGATGCCTTGAGGGTGTATTTGTTTTTTGGATGAAGCGAGGGAGAGAGAGCAGGGGGAGAGAGAGAGAGAGAGAGAGAGAGAGAGAGAGAAGCGGAGGTGTGTGGCCGGGAGTTGCCTAGGGAACAACCGAGTAGTCGCCACACTTTCGATACTCATTTTATTCGGGCGTCTCTCTCTCGCTCTCTCTCTCTCTGCACTCTCTCCCTCTGTTGTCCATAGGAACCCCCAGGATTTTTGTGAGGTAGGGCGGCAGCTTCTCCCTCGTGTGCTTCTAACTACTAGCCCGTTCGGAGTAACTTCTCGGAAAATTTCACTGATTCGCCCGCCCAGGGTCAGAGAATTGGCTATTCTGACTCATAGTGTACACAATTTACTCTGTTTCTCTCTCCCTCACTCTCTCCTCTCTCTCTCTCTCTCTCTCTCTCTCTCGTTCTCTCTCAGCCACTCTCTCGCCCATTTCACTTCCTAGCAGTTAGCCCCCGGTGGTCCAATTATTTTCGTCCCTAGCCTCAAAGAACCTTCACGCCGTTATTTCGGGTCTTTCTGAATGACAGCTAGTGGCTTTTCATGCCGGCTCACTATTTTTGGTACGCACTCTCTCATCCCGAACTGCCAAAAATCCAAAAAATACACATTTTACGACTTTTCCTGCCCTTTCAAAAAATCCCGATTTGACCGTAAATATTGCTAAAAATAGCCAAAAAACATTATAGCATTTGGGACGCTAGAACAACAAAAAAAAACAATTAATCTTGTGATGATCAAGTATTTTTCCTCTCGACTCGCGCCCATATCCATGGCTCAGTCGGCAGAGCGTTGGTCTATCAACCTGAAGGTCCGGGTTCGATTCCGCCGGGTGTGAAAACTTTTTGCTTTTTGGTGGGGAGCTTTAAATTCTGTTGCCTTTTATGGAAAACCACAAAATCGAGCTCATGCCCAGGCTGAAACTCAGGATCGCTGTTAAAATTTTGCTTAAAAAAATCAAAAAATGAAATTTTTGAAGCATTTATCGATCTCACCAGGTCCAAATTTTGCAGCCCGGGGAGGGGCAATAAACAGGGCTAGGGGCGAGGGCGAGAGGGGGGAAAGCCGTGACTCATAAAACGCGCCCAAAACGCTCTGTCCGGAAAAGGGCCGAAACGCTGATCAGTCACTCCCCCATCTCTCGCTCGGCACGCTTCGATCCTGAATTTTATCGCGTAACTATATATTCTGAATTCCCGAAAAATTGATGGCACGGTCGAATGGCAGACAGGTTAGACGGCTGAAGCCTTAAAAACGGTTCAAAACACTAAAAAATGAATTTTGACAAAACTCCCACCCTTTTCCGGAATTCTGGATTCTAAAAGTTGCCCTAAAAACTTCGATGAATCACCAGGTGACGCCCTATTTATCGCAATCGCTTATCTGCCAGTCAGTTTATGGTATTTCATCCTCAACTTGGCGTCAGTTTATCCAGATTTTTGAAATACTACGAGGTTCTCCTAACGTCAAATTTAATTTTTCAATTGTTCTATTTAAAATTGTATTTATTTTCTCTGGAATCAAATCTTTTTGATGTAGTTATTAACTAATTCTATTTGAAACGAGTGCGAATAGTCTAAAACTTACAATTTTAGAATTTTCAAAAACTGTTTCTGCTAGGATTTTTAACAATTACTAGATCTTTCCTGTTTTCAAGAAAAATATTTTCTAAAAATTCAGAATTTTTCTGAATTCCGATGCCCATTAGGAGCAATCAAGGCGGGAAATTACACAAGTCGAATTTTTTAAAACTCAAGATGTTTCTATTTTCCGAATTTTCATGTCTAAATATTTTTATTTTGACTCAGATTTTTTTCATTTCCGCTTCTATTCCGGCCCGGAATTATTGATCGGAACCAGCGCCCAAAACCCGCTTCGCGGGCCTTGGGCGCTGGAATGCGGCCTTTGCATCAGAAATTTGACTTTCCGATAGCTCGGGTCTTTCGGACCCCCTCCCCCCCCGGCCGACCACACTCGCGAGTGCAATTTGCAAGAATGAAGAAATTTCTATTTTTTTTACATTATGCAAATTACCCCCAAAAATGAGTAAAACCGGCTTTAACTTTGTAAACGGGTATTTTATCAAAATTCTGAAAGCGTCATCGGAAAGAGGAGGGTCGATTCCCCCGGGTGACGGAGAATTAGTGCATTTTATGCACGGGAAGGCCCTCAAATCGGGCCTCGAAAGTGACATCCACACACACACACACACACACACAGTTACACACCAAAATTATATAAGGTAGGATATAAATGTTCTAGTCCCCCTCTAGGCCCTCTTTTTCTGAGAAATCGGGTAACCAAGGGCATCGAATCGTTGCCGGGACAAATTAAAAGGGCGGGAAAAGCTCGCGAGAATTGCCGTCATTTTTCATGTTTTTATAGAATCGGCTTTCAAAAGTAATTAGTATTTTTCAAAGTACGAAAAAAATTTTTCAGTTATATGTACCCCTGGATCGACCGCCACGCAGGATGAATACTGGGAAAGATGATATGAGAGAATATTGTGTCAACGGCCAAATGAGGTACGCTAGAAATTGGGGATTTTAAAACATTTAAATTACGATAAAATTAATCCAATTTTCACCTACTAAAATAAACGGGTTCGCTCTAAAATTAAACTAAAAATTCTACAAAGCCCCAAATTAACAACTTTTAACTTTTAAGACTAAATAAACCAATTAATTTAGTGCACACTAGATCAAAAATTATATCATTGTAAAACGAAACCGTTTTCTTTACTAGCAAAACTAAAAACACAAGAAACTCTATTAAAAATGCGATCAATATTTCCAAAAAAAACACCTTAAAAACTTTAATTTCCCGTCGGGATTAAATACACTCAAATTCAGGAAAATTAGGAAACTTTTCCAATTAAATAAAAACCACAAAATGCTAGTTTTCGAAATTTAACCAATTTGGGAAAATTTAAGTATACGGTCACCTAGCCAAACCCAACTTATCAACTATAATAATTTTCTTGACGCGTCTGTCCGTCCGTCCGTCTGTGTGAAGCCGAATTCAACTCGAAGGGGAAAGGAGCTAGAGCTTAGCTCTCTTCGGATTCGGATAGAGCGCCCTCAGAAACCCCTAAACTGATAAAAAAATTATGAAAAAGTTTTAGTTTAACTTATTAAAATTAACTTTGAAAGTTTTCTCCTTAGTAAAAGGGTGGGGGACGGAGGTTGGGCTGATTTTGGACATAGTGAGCCAGGTCGCGCGCGTTTCGTGGATGAAAATTTTCACGGGGGATTTCATTTCTTTTTTTCTCTAATTCCATCCGGTCGGTCGTTATTTTCGTTTTTTAAACGGGATTTTGGCTAGGGGAGGTATCTAAAGCCATCAGGAAGGTATTTAGGTAGTTTTTGAAGGGGATTTCAGCCATGGGGGGTATCTGTAGCCATCAGGAAGGTATTTAGGTAGTTTTTGAAGGGGATTTCAGCCATGGGGGGGTATCTGTAGCCATCAGGAAGGTATTTAGGTAGTTTTTGAAGGGGATTTCAGCCATGGGGGGTATCTGAAGCCATCAGGAAGGTATCTAGGTAGTTTTTGAAGGGGATTTCAGCCATGGGGGGTATCTGAAGCCATCAGGAAGGTATCTAGGTAGTTTTTGAAGGTGATTTCAGCCATGGGGGGTATCTGAAGCCATCAGGAAGGTATTTAGGTAGTTTTTGAAGGGGATTTCAGCCATGGGGGGTATCTGAAGCCATCAGGAAGGTATTTAGGTAGTTTTTGAAGGGGATTTCAGCCATGGGGGGTATCTGAAGCCATCAGGAAGGTATCTAGGTAGTTTTTGAAGGGGATTTCAGCCATGGGGGGTATCTGAAGCCATCAGGAAGGTATCTAGGTAGTTTTTGAAGGGGATTTCAGCCATGGGGGTATCTGAAGCCATCAGGAAGGTATCTAGGTAGTTTTTGAAGGGGATTTCAGCCATGGGGGGTATCTGAAGCCATCAGGAAGGTATCTAGGTAGTTTTTGAACGGGATTTCGGCTATGGGGGGTATTGATGGAGGTGGGAAAGGATGTGGTAGAGTGGGACATGTAGGGTAGCCCGAAGCCCAGATGGTTGCAGTCGCGAAGCGACTGTAACCATCTGGTTTATATATAGAAATGTTCAGCTCGATGAGCTGGTTCAGGATCAGTTGAAAAAACTATTGGTAAACACTTCTGGAGCGAGATATAGGGGTCCAAATTTAGCTAGTTAGGTACCAGATGGTTACAGTCGCTTCGCGACTGCAACCATCTGGCCTTCGGGCTACCCTACATGTCCTACTCCACCATATCCTTCCCTACCTCCAACAATACCCACGCTAACGGCTTCAGATACCCCCCATAGCCGAAATCCCTTTCAAAAACTACCTAAATACCTTCCTGATGGCTTTAGATACCTCCCCTAGCCGAAATCGTTTTAAAAAAAAACGAAAATAACGACCGACCGGATGGAATGAGAGAAAAAAAGAAATGCAATCCCCCGTGAAAATTTTCATCCACGAAACGCGCGCCACCTGGCTCACTATGTCCAACCTCCGTCCCCCACCCCTATTACTAAGGAAAAAACTTTCAAAGTTAATTTTAATAATTTAAATTAAAACTTTTTCATAATTTTTTTATCAGTTTGGGGGTTTCTGACCATGCTCTATCCGAATCCGAAGAGAGCTAAGCTCTAGCTCCTTTCCCCTTCGAGTTGAATTCGGGACATGACGGACAGACAGACAGACAGACAGACAGACACCACTACTTTTTTATTATAGTTGATACGGTCACCTATCGAAACAGGCTTGTTTTATGCATAGAAATGTGCAGCTCGTCGAGCAGAGCCGATATCTGTTCAAAGAATCATTGGGAAAAATGTATAAAGAAAGTTATGAAGGTTTGAAACTCAGTTTTCGGAAAGTTCCGGCTACGCGACACTCCTTTGTACGGAGCGGTGTAGACGTACCTCGTCAATAATACATGTTTGTAATTTTTAAGCGTTTTTAACGCTATTAATGTAAAATAAAGGTCACGGTGAGGCTTTTCACATTGTCAGGCAAGGTGGGCCGTCGCTTCGGATGGGCTGCCGCTCCACTCTTCCGAAATGGGGGCGCCCCCGGCCGCTTCGCCGGTCTTGGCGCCCCCATTTCGAAACCCTGTACGAGCTCGCGCCCATCCGAAGCGACTAGGCCCCGGGTGGCACGAAGCCTTATTTTTAGGTAAAGTTTGAGTGTATTAGAGCGAAATATCCAAAGGACATGGACCTTTTTTGGCCCTTTTGGTGTTCAAACTTTGGACGCCTATATCTCGCTCCAAAAGTGTTTCCCAATAGTTTTTTCAACTGATCCTGAACCAGCTCGTCGAGCTGAACATTTCTATATATAAAAAGTTTGGGTTTGGCTAGGTGACCGTATACTTAAATTTAGCCACCAATTTTGCTTAAAACTGAAAGTAAATGAATCAATTTAGTTCCTCACAAAACGAAGAAGAGGAGGGACCATCGACGAGTACGGCCACGGGGCCGAGCAGGACGGAAAATGTCAGGAGGTACGTCCTAAAAAGCATTAAAATATACCAAAAACAGTTTTCTAGACTTTTCGCAAACCGATGTTTAACTAATTTAAACGTTATAAAGCTACACTACACAATTTAGAAGTCTAAAAGACCTGAAAAAGGACATGGGACGGAATTTCGACGCGCTCGTCCATCGACCGAGGATGGAGAGGATCAGTGAAAGCGAGGGAGGCATTCAGGATAAGGTTGGTGGTAATTTCGATAGCTTTTAAACAATGGCTTTCTCTTGGAAAAGTGGAATTTATGTAAAAATGCATCAGTCAAATTAGGCGGTAAAAATGGGGGGCTACAAACTCCAAAAACTGAGCGTAACCTCTTCAAAACTCCAAACTACAAGCTAGGCTCTACCACACCCAACTGCCTTTAAAAACTTAATACGTATTTCAAAATCTGAATTTCACACTTCTTTCTGTATCAAAAAAGCTACAAATTTAAAATCTAATAACGCTTCAAAGGGCAGAAAAAACTACAAATTCCAAAGTCCATAGAATTACCCTCCAAAAACCCGAAAAATATAAGCCCCCGAAGTACGGCTGACTCCTCCTTCCGTCCCTCCTCATTTCATATAGCAATCGATGCATCGATAAGGCAACTTGTAACGATCAAAATTCCAAAATTCAAGCTTTACTCACGCCGAACATTTTCTAAAACGAAACTACCCGAAAAATGCGGCTATCAGCCTCAAAATGTACTCTATAAAAACCCTACGAAATGAATTGCAGAATCCAAAGTACGGCACGCTTTTTCCAAACAACAATTTCAGACCGTACTCGAATCGATAAGCCGATTTTTCGCGCCATAAACTCCAAAAACAAGCTTTATTTCTGCCGAAAAACCTCTTAAAAATCAAAACGAACGAAATCCATGAGAAACCAATAAAATCACAGCCTATCGTCTAAATACTAGTAGAAAAACAGACAAAAAGCGAGCGAGCAGTGAGAAATAGAAATAGAAATGACCCGGGCAAAAAGAGAGCATAAAATTGGCAGCCAAGAAATTAGAAATTACCCGTTAATAGAAATATACGAAAAAAGATATAAATAGGGCGAAGGGAAATTTGGTAGATTAATACTTCTTGAGATGGCGATCCAGCGGATAGTGCGTCTGCAAAAATTCATTAAAAACATATACAAAATACAACAATATTAAAACAAACTTTTAAAAACCAAAATAAAACAAAACCTGATTGAATAAATTTAAAAACGTTTGATAAAATACGCCAAATCGATATTAACAAAGTAACGAATTTAAAATAAATTACATTAAATTACTATTACGCCCAGTTAAAAATTTAACCAGCATTTTGATAAAATTCAGGAATTTAGGAAAAATAAAACGCTACTAAAAAATTAAATCTTTTCACGTAAAAAATCAATCAATTGAATCGAATTAATTAAAACAAAAAACAATACTCCGAATTCGGCGAGATGGTCGTCGAGCTCCTGGCGCTGGCGACGAAGAGGGGCCGGCAGCTAGAAAACAAAAATATAGAACAATTAATTGTTGCTTTTTAAACGTCTTCGAAAATCCTCAGAAATGCGATACCTTATCGTAGACTCCCTCGAACATTTCGTGGTAGGGGGCACGCTGGATTTTCTCGGATGCGGCGAACGCCGTCAGCACACGCTCGCGAACCTCCAAAATATTCTGATTAACCGCAGATCACTTGTAAAAAATTGCCAGATCGAATTTTCTCTTTTTATGACACATTCTAAAATTTAAAGTAAAAACTACAAAACACTTTAAAACCCATAATAAAAAATGAATGAAAAGACCCTTTACATCTTCAAAATCCCAAAACAAATGTTTCGAAATTAGAAAGCTAATTTTCTAAAGTTTCCCGGCGAATTCCGGGACAAAAATATAGTGAAAGACGCTTCCCTGCTCCCTAAAAAATCAACAAAACACGAGTAAAAGAACATCCGCTACCTAAAAATTACAAAATCGCCGCAAAATTATTTTATTGGATGAATTTCCAAAGCCTAAAAACCACCAAGAAGCGCTTACAAGTCCCTTTAAAGTGCAAACAACAGTCAAATTGTACCTGTAGTGCCCATTCCTGTTCCCTCTGCTCGGTCCACCATCCCTTCTCCATCAAATAGGCCTTGAATCGTTCGATCGGGTGGTCGCCAGAGCCCCATTTCTGCACCTCGTCCGCCGATCTAAAAACATAATATAGATTTTAACCCATAGGAAAGCGACAGAAAAGGAAAGCGAGAGAAGAGAGAGAGAGAGAGATAGAGAGAGATAGAGCAAGATAGAGAGAGAGAGAGACAGAGAAAGAGAGAGACAGAGAAAGAGAGAGTGAGAAAGAGTGAGAGAGCGAGAGTGAGTGAGAGAGAGTGAGAAAGAGAGAGAAAAAAGAGAAAGAGAGAGAGACAGAGACAGAGTGAGAGAGAGAGAGAGAGTGAGATCAATAGATTAGAATGAATACCTGTATGTAGTCGAATCATCAGATGTTGAATGATGTCCCAATCGATAGGTCATCGCTTCGATGAGTACCGGTTTATTCGAGAGGGCCAGTTTTCGGGCGCGTCGGGTGGCATTGTAGACGGCGAATAGGTCGTTTCCGTCAACGCTAAAAACTCGTATAATTACAGGGGCCTGACAGCCGAAATTAGACACCACCCCCTCTGCGCACTAATACATCAAAAATTGAAAATTTCGCTAAATTCGAAATTTAAGAAATTAGCCAAAAATTAAATTAACTAAAGGGATTGAATCTAGCAATATTTGAGCACTAATCAGTTAAAAACCAGCGAAGAAAAATTCTTAGCCCCAAAAACTTCCACTCTTTACTCAAATTAAGCTGGCCTTTACCTTTAAAATTTAAAATTTACCCAATATTAAATTTTAATCCTCAGCATAAACTTAAAAGCCTAATTATAATTAAAGGGGCGTGCCAGTAATAATTTACAAAAATTTTAGCATAAAATATAAATCAGATTTCACTAGCTCCAAAATCCAGTCAAATTAAATACATTTGAAACGCGCCGTGCCAAAAGTTATTCAAAAAATATTTTCGCGTTATAACGCAAAAACCCAATTTTCACCGAATTACCGTAATCCCACATTCCAAAAATTCCCATTTTTTTTCGAAAAACCCTACTAAAAAGTACCGTATGGTGTGGAGACCGTATCCGGGTCCCTGCCCGGCAATTCCATCGCCTCCATACTGTTCGGTGGTGGGCGTCGAGATGGCGTATCCGTTGTTGCGGCAGAAGAAAATGATCGGGCAGTCCTAAAACAGGGAGATCAGAATTTCACGTCGTAATCGAATGTATACCAGGGTTGCGGCAAAGTTGAAGGCCGCGTGCGCGTCACCCTCGGAAGCGCCACCATCCCCAAAGTAGACGCACACCACGCGCGAGTTGTTCGGCTGTCTAAAAAATGCAAAATTAAACGTTAAAAAAGCCAAAAATCCTTCATATTGCGAAAAAATTAACTTAACAACCTTTCACGCCAAAAATTCCCCACTTTTGTTATTAAAAAATAAAAATGGAAAGTTCGCGATTATAGATGATTTTTAGAACGAAAATCTCTCTAATTTTACCCTAAAACACTAAGAAACACAGGATTTAGCTTGTAAAGCTTAAAAAATAAAATTGAAGGATTCGCAACCCTTCTACAGGCAAAAATACCCTAATTTTTAGCCTAAAACGATCAAAACGCCCATTGGACGACGAGTTTGCTCCTAAAACAAAAAACATAATTTGAAGGTTTTAGCCTATTTTTAGTGTCCAAATTTGATTAAAGTAATAGAAAAAAATCGAAATTGATAATTTCTAAGAGATTTTGGCGCAAAAATTCAATATTTTAGTTGATAAAATGAAAAATACAAATTTGAATTTTTAAGGCAAAAATCATCGAACCAAAACTCAAAATTAAACATGACGCCATTTTAGAGCCAAACACCTCCAGATTTTTATCCTAAAGCACCAAAAAAGTACCGTTTGAACGCGTAGGCGCTGCCGACGGCCTGCGGCATCTGGGTGCTCAACGGGCTGGAGATCATGACGAAGTTGTGCTCCTGGGAGCCGTAGTGGATCGGCATCTGCTTGCCTTTGCCTAAAAACACTTATAAAAATAAACTACAAATGACGAACCGAGATCCTTGGAATTGCCGTAGCATTGGTGCATAAATTGGTCGACGGGAAAGCCGCGCCACATCAGGACCCCGACCTAGAAAATGGGATTTTAGGTCTGAACCCGAAAAATACCTCGCGATACTGTCCGTAGATGAGATCTTGATCTTCGAGGGCCGCCGCCGAGCCCACGTGATTTCCCTATAAAGAGGATTATTTTAAAATTTAAATCAAAAAAATTTGATGCAAAAATATCCATTTTCTTTTTCTATACCCTTTAAATATCAACCCATTTTTATAAAACTTTCAGACAAAAATCATTAAAAAATATAATTTTAATCGTGCGTCCATTTCAAATATAATTACATGAATGGAAAGCAGGCCCGAAAAACCCGGAAATTAGACGTTTTAAGCTTTAACATATTTAAAACAGATTTACAGAAAATTTAATGAGCAAAATAATTTTTAAAACGCCCCTTGACTCCTTTAGTAGTTTTAAAACGGTTTTTAGGGCCATCGCCAAGTGTTTACCTAGAAACGCTAAATTTTCCTCGATTGATTAAAAATCGTCAAAAGCCATTCCAACAATTTTTCTACGTTTTAAAACACCAAAAGTGTCAAAAAATTTTTTGAAATCCCCTATAAGTCCCTAAAATCAAATCCTCTCCACACTACAATTTCGAGCAAAACACCTTTTTCCATGTGCCTCAGAAAAGCGTGGGAAAGGCTGAAAAAATTCGCGCTTCCCTCCAGACCCTAAATTCACCCCCACCAATTAGTAATCCAGCTAAATGTCACCAAATCGATCGATATTCCCCATGTTGCTAAAGAAAATCCGGAAATCACAAAGCGCCATTCGGCCGGAAGTGGATCGATTGGAGGTCGAGGAGAATGATATTCCATCTATTCAATCGAGCGTGGGTTTTCTGAGTTTAGAAAGAGCTACACTGATTCTTAAAAAACGTCCTATTTTAAAATTTAGATTTTAGCCTTCAAAAATTTAATCTAGCTTTAAAACACACAAAAATATCCTTACAAAATAAAAAGTAAAAGCAACAAAGACTAGTGCATTTTAAAATTAAAAATCAAGCAATTTTAAAAAGTTTAACAGATTTTTTAACCCCCTGACCGCGAATTTTTGCATCAAACTTTAAAAGAAAAAGAGTTAGACCTATCTTTAAAGCTATAGATTAAATCAATCATTACCTCATCCTAAAAAAACAAGAAAATCTCTAATTTAAAAAAGTAAAAAACTAAAACCAGCTTTAAATTTATAAATCAAAACAATTTGTACCTCCTCCCCGGAATTGGTCATGTAGAAGGCGATGCGGCCCTGGCGCTGCGCGTCGTAGAGAATTCGATCCATAATGTTCAGCTGCGTCATCGTCTCGTAGATGCGGATCGATTTCTCCTAAACAACTATTTTTAAGCGAAATTCCCAAAAAATACCTTTCCAAAGCCCGGATCCTGGGCCTGGTCGATAAACTTGCCGAGCCCGTCGGTGACGCGGTAGATGGGGATGGCCGGCGACTTGCTCGAGTCGATGAATTCGAGCTTTTCCGTGAATGCCGCCGAAAGAAAAGGTTTTGGACCATAAACGGGGGGTTTACCTTTCGATATCCGAGGTATTTGTGCGAGTATTCCTTCAGTCGAAACTCGTCCCGATCCTTGGCCGTCGTGTAGTTGCGCCAGGAGTGGGCCACTCGGCGGGCGCTCGAACGGACGCTTTGCAGCATCTGAAATGGAGGAAATTAGGGTTAAAACGGGCAGAAAAAGCAGAGAAAATGGTAAACAAAAGAGAAATTTAATTTTCACAACATGATTCCAAAAACTGGGAAGATATCGATCAATTTCGGCCCCAACACTGTATTTCGCGAGGAAAATGATCTATAGTTCAAGAATCGAAAAATTAACTCGAAAACGCATAGAAAAATGCACATGAAAATAGAACACAAAATTCGGCTCAATTTTCACGAAATCACTTCCAAAAAAATAGGAAAAGGCAATGTATTTTCCGCGCTAAAAACCTTACTTTTTACGGAAAATGATATCCACGTCAGGAATGGAAAATCTAGCTAAAAAATGCGCAGACAAGCATAAAAAACCCAAAGCAAAACATTTAGAATCAATTTCGTTTTCAAGGGGATATCAATTTTCACAAAATCAATGTCTAAAAAATAAGGAAATCAAGATATTTTCGGTATTAAAACCGGATTTCGAGTAAAAAAAGAGCCGCATTTTTCAACCAACAATGTTTATCGCAAGTTAACAATTATACAACAAGTTAACATTTATACCACCAGGCGATCGAGAACTGAACAGTCGATACACCAGCAAAGTACATGAGAAGATAACAAACTAACAAAGCGAGCAAAGTGAAAAAGAGGAACGAGAGGAGGAGCAAACACAGTACATCTACAGCACGAACTTGTTGGTTTTGGCGGGTCGTTTGGCTGGTCTGGGCTTCAAGGTCGCGCGGCTTCACCGGCACGTGCTTCGGAATCGCCATGGTGGCCTCTTGGATCATCTGCAGATACGGGGCCAGGGAGCTCGTGTTTCCGGGCTCGGCGCATCCCTGGCAGACGACGGCGCCGGTCGAGTTGTTGATCACCATCGCGTTCTGCTCGGCGCTGGCGTTGAAAAGGCGCTTGCATTTGGCACAGGTGAAGCATTGGATGCTGAACGGGGCGGACATCTGGAAAAGAACCAATTGATTAGTCTGCATTCAACAAGCAAAAAATGGAAAACGAGAAAACCAACAATAAATTTGGTACTTTCGCATTATCGGGGGTAACAAATTTTCTATTAGTACAAAATGCCTAGAACGCAATTGTAATTATTTTAATACTGTTTTTAGCCATTTAGCTGCTTTTCAGGTGCTAAAACGATCTAAAAAACTTAGAAATATCCTTAAAACTTAAATTTTTGTCTGAAAATACATATTTTTTGGTATTTTTCAGCACCTTTGTAAAGTTTTGACGTTTAGGAATAGTAAAAACTAAACATTGCTAACTTTCTACATTTGGAAAGGCCGGAAACACTTTTTTTTACCTATTTAGAAAGATTGGAGTCTACGGAAAAAGGTTGTCCCCCCGATAATACAAAAGCACCAGCAAACCGAATAGGCTGAATTGAATAAACAAAGCAAAGAAAATTGGGAAAGGAAGAAAATGCCTAACCATGTGAAAAGAGCGTGCATTACTTGGTTTCCTTACCAAACCAAGACCAACAAGATAAACATAATAAAGCATAGCAACGAGAGAAGAAGCGCGTTAAAATGGATCAGCAATGTTTGGGCGTTTTGCTGGATCTGGGCGTTGATTTGGTGGGTGATGTCGAGGAATTCAGCAAGACTGGGCTTTTCGACGGCCAGTTGGAGATGATCGCGGATTTCGCCGAGCAAATCGAGCTTTTTGCCGTGCTGTTTGAGGCGTAGGTTGATTCGCCGGCTGACGGCGAGGTATTCATCATTTTTGGGCTGATGATCTTGATGCTGCTCGTATTTTTCGATGATTTCCGGCATCCTTTCCACGTCAAATTGCCGTCCGTCATTTTGAGGTCGTGGATTCTGATGTTGCTGCTCACTTTTAGGGCTCATTTCACGGTCGATGCGTCGTTTCTCCTCCTCAACCCGTGTGCACAGGGCGAGAAAATAGGCGAAACCCGCCCAGGTGATGTATTCGGGCTCATCCTCGAATTCGTAGCGCTTCCGGTCCGAAAAAGCGTCGGTTCGAGCGGCAAAGACACAGCTGCAACAACGCCATTCCCGTCCGCAGCTCGATATCATCGGAAGGCGTTGCACGCAATCTGCCGGCTTCTTGCATTCCGGGCATTTTGGGATCAGCTCCAGCCCGGTCATGGCTGAGTTGGCCTTGTCGCAGTCGTCGAGGAAATCCATCAGGAGTTGAACTGGCTGAGAAGCTCGAGATCCGGCGCATTCTTGACAAACGATCTCGCGCCGCTGCTTGTCGATGACGGGCTGGCATCGAGGAAGCGTCGTGTCGAAGCGCTCCTGGCAGCCGGGGCAGTAGAAACATTCGAAGAGGCCCATCTGCAAAAAGAAAGATAGATTTGGACCGAAAAAGACAAGAAAAAGAACGAGGGAGAACAGCGCAAAAAGTATTAATACGAAAATTGGGTGCTTTTGCATTAACGGGTGGGCACAGCTTTTTTTGGTATAAAGGGAATGTTTCTAAGCGATTTTTTTATGCTGCAAAACGTAAAAATTAAGCTTTTTTGCCCAAAAAACCCTTTTTCAACCAAAACGTTTTGAACCGAAAACTTTTTCATAAATTACCGGAATTTCTGGGCTAATAAGAGAAGAAAAACATTCGCTCCCCGATAATGCGAAAGAACCGAAAATGTATTTTTGCGATTATAACGCAGAATTCGGCTGCATCAGGCTTTTTCCAACCAACAAATTTATTAGCAAAACCAGACAATTACTGCAACATCAAAATAACGAGCAAACCAGCGGAAAGCAATGCGAGGATAATAATAACGATCGAAAGAAGGTAAATCTTTTTATCATTTCGCTTGAGGCGGCTGTAGATTTGGCGATTGAGGGTCGATTCATCAAGAACGGCCAGTTTCTTCTTGATCTCCTCGACGTGGCCATTGATTTCGTCGAGCATCTCCAGCTTTTCCTCATTTTCCAGGAAATGGGCGTCGATTTGGCGGCTGATGGCGAGATATCCATCCTCTTTCTCTTGAATAACATTGACGATTCCCCTTTCGAGGTCCTCCTCGTATTTCGGGGGTGCTGCCGGCTGTTTTCGGACTTTTTTGGCGTGCAGCCACAAGAATTCGACGTAGTTCTTCCACGGCATGAATTCGGGCTGCTGCTTGGATTGGTAGTGGCACGTCTGGCAGGTAGGGGGCCCGTCTTTCGGCGTATCCAACATGCAGGTATAGCATCTCCACGTGTGGCCACATCTCGGCAGCATCGGGAAGCGATCCATACAATCTGCCGGCTTCTTGCAGCCTGGGCATCTCGGAATCTGAAATTTCGAATTTAGGTGACGGGGTTCCTTGTTTTTTTTCATATTAGCCCAGAAAAGCCTACTAATGCAATACTAAGGAATTTTGTGGGTTTTTTAGTTTAGCAAATTTCACTAAATTTTAAGTGTAAAACGACCCAAAAATTTCACTTTTAGTGTGAAACGGCTATTTTCGATCGTAGAATAAATTTTTAGTAAATTTACTTATGTTTCAAGCGCAAAAAACTATCCAAAAACTTCGAAAATTTCTTTAAAAATCCTCATTTTGGTCTAAGATCGGGTTTTTGGAGGGAAAATCCGATATTTATAGTAATTTTCACAAAAATTTCAGGTTTTTGAGGTTTTGACATAGTAAAAAAGTTATAAAAACCCTCCTCTATTTATATCATACAAAAGAACGTATGCAATAAGTTTATTCCCCCCCCCCGATAACGCGAAAGTACCTGCGACTCATCCCCGTTCTTGAAGTTTGTGTCGAGGAGGGCGAGGATCAGCTCGACAGGGCCTGATCCGCCAGCTCCGACGCACATTTGGCAACGGATGTCGTTGCGGTGCTTGACGATGAATGGACGACTTCCGGGGGTTGACGGGTGGAATGGACGGTGGCATTTGGAGCAGTAGAAGCACTGCATCATGCTCATCTCGGCGCCCATCTGAAAACAAGTGAATTATTTGAGGGCAGTTCAACAATAGAGGAGCAGGAAAACATGAAAATATGCGGAAATGATTTTGGAGGTTTCTTATCAAGTATCAAGCTCAAGGGCAGAAGCAAAAAAAAGGTTATTTCGGTAGCAGAATCAACAAAATGAACAAATTGAAGCATAGCAAGATGAGAATAATAATAATGACGATCGAAAGCAGGCAAATCTTGTTATCATTTCGCTTGAGGCTGCTGCAGAATTGGCGATTGAGGGTCGATTCACCAAAGACACCAAGTTTCTTCTTGATCTCCTCGACGTGCTCATTGATTTCGTCGAGCATCTCCAGCTTTTCCTTGTTTTCCTGAGCATCTATGTCGACATTTCCCTGTTTGTCAGCCATGGACTTTTTACGGTGCTCGGCGCACATTTTCATCCCAAGGAAGGTGATGTAATTGACCCAGTAAACGGGCTCCTGTTTCGATTCCGATCGATCAAGACAGATTCGACACGACCCATCGCCGTTATCCTTGATGAACATGCAAGTGTAGCACATCCAGGCATGTCCGCAACTCGATAGCACCGGAAGACGATCCATACAATCTGCCGGTTTCTTGCAGCCTGGACACCTTGGGATCGCGGCGCTGTCGAAATCTTTGAAATTGGTGTAGAGAAGACTCATGAGCAGCTGGATGGGATCTGAATGTCCCTCATCGGCACATTGTTCGCATACAATGTCGTGGCCCGTCTTGTTGAATACTGGCTTCCTTCCCGGGACAGTTGTGCTGAACCTTTCGTTACATTTCTGACAATAGAAGCATGGGTTGAAGCTGATGTCGGCGCCCATCTGAAAAAAGGAGATTAATAAGGATCTATAACAGATAAAAAGACATCGAATTTTGATCAGACACTTTTTCTTCTTCTAGACAAACAGTACTTTAGTTTCCTGCTTATTTTCTCCAGCAAAAGGCTCGGTTTTCGCGTTTTTCCGCGATTTTCTTGGAAAATGTTCATTTTTCGGTACAAAACAGCCCAATTGACGTAGTAGCGTAGCGAGTATTGGTCCGGAAAACACAAAAAAGGGCCAAAATTGCCGAAAATCCAGGTAAAAACCTCAGAAAATTTTAAGTCCTCCTATCTAAAAATAGAAATTACTACAAAATTTTCTTGAACAGAAAATATAGAATACAAAATATTAAGATTGCTTTCAAAAGCATAGTGTTTAAAAATTCAACCAGACTACTAACAACGTTTATTTGAAAAGCAACGCCAACAAAACGAATAAATTGAAGCATAGCAACGTGAGAATAATAGTGAATTGCATGTTCATCTTTTCTTCCAATGCGTTGTTCTGGGTATCGACGGGAAGAGGGGCCGGGATCTGTTGATGACGAGCAATCGACTCGAGCATCTCCTTGTTCTTCTCCACCTTCTGGTTGATTTTGTGGGTGATGACGATGAACTCCTTGAGCGTCTCCAGCTGCTTTTGATATTTCTCCATGCGGCCCTCGATTGGATATGTGATGGCGAGTCGTTCATCGGGCTTTGGCAGTGACTGCTGCTGCTGCTGCTTGTCGTCGTCGACGCCGAAGAACGTTTGGCCCTAGAAAAACGTAGTGATTCTTTTGCGTAATCGGGGGCCAGTTTTTGCCTTAAATTTTCTCCCAAACTACATGTATTTTTTACACTTTTTGACTATAGCAAATATATCGCAAAGCGCCAAAACTTTCCAAATATTTATTAAAAAAATATAGAAATATTGATTTTTTGCGAAATTTTCAAATTTCAAACTATTTTTGTAGCTTTCTCAATGCTAAATGTTGTCCCAAACGCTATTAAAATACTTGCTATTACATTATTAAAGATTTTTAGACTATTGCCAAACGTAAAAACCCACCTATTTTTGCTAAAAAATACAAGTAAATAGATTTTTTGGGCAAAAAATGAAAATCTTACTTATTTTGGCTTCCCAACTGCTAGCTTCTGTTGTCGACACCATTAAAATACTTGCTATTACATTATTATGGTTTTCTAGAATTATACGACCCCCGCTAATGCAAAAGCACCCATTTTGAAGCGGAAAACGCGCTTACCAGTAGGCAGCTTAAATATCGTGTCCACGGCACGTATTCGCTGGCCAGCCGCCCACAAACGTTGCAGTTCAAAAAGTGGCGATCCTCGGCGGTGAGGGCGCAGAAGCCACAAACCCATGAATGGCCACATCTGGCGAGCATCGGAAGTCGTTCCATACTATCCGCCGGCTGATTGCACGCCGGACATTTCGGGATCGACGATTTGTGGCAGCGTTTGAAGTCGGTGTTAAGAAGATCCAAGACCAGTTGCACGGGATCGGAGGCTCCGTACCGGGCACAGCCCTCGCAGATGATGTCGTAGCGTCCGGGGCCGATCACCGGCTTTCGGCCGTGGATGTGGGCGTTGACCGGTTGCCGCATGTCGCGCATTGGAAGCAGACGAACGTGCTCAGCTGGGCGCCCATCTGCAAAAAGAGAGATATAAATTAATATGCAAAATTTGCGTTAAAGACTTCGAGAAAAGCCGAATTTTTAGCGTATTCGAGCCATTTTTCTGGCTTTTAGCGCCTTCCTACGTGAAAATTTTCATCCAATTAACAAAACTTCTTTACTACAGTAAAAGGACCAATTTTGCACGTTTTTGAAGGATTGCTTGAAAATTTTCATTTTTCCTGTACACAACAGTCCGATTGACGTAGCAACGTAGTGAGTATGGTTCCGGAAACCTTGGAAATGGCAAAAAGTTTCAGAATTGAAAAGAATATGCAAAAAAAATGTAATTTTCAGCGCCCTTCAATCTTCGAGCGACTGCAGCGGACGATTGACGAGTTGCCGAGTCTGCCGGATATGACCGGAGAGGGCTCTGTGGTCAGTTTTTCCAGAATTATCGATTTTTATTCGCTTTTAGGTGGAAAGAATCGACAATACGCTGAACGCCCACTATTATACGATTGCTTATTGTGTCGTTATAACTGCGGTAGGTTAAAATGTCTATAAAATTCATTAAATATGTTTTTTCTAGGATTAAAAGCATTATAACCGTTATAAAAATTGCTATAGAAGCTGTAAAATTGTATTCAGCTTCAGTTTCATCAATCTTCAATCATTTTCAGTACGTATTGGGCTTTGCGGAGTACGTCTACCTTCGGCTCGTCTCGATTCTCATCCCGGAAAAGATGAAATTTTACAAGACATGCCAGGAACGGGCTGATGAAAGGGTACGTTTTTTTCAGTAAAATTACAGTTGGTCAAACTTTTTGGACCAAATCTTCAAATCAAAATCAGTAAAAAGTAACCTAAAAGTACATTAAATCTTTTTGAGCACTTTTATTAGTATTGCACTATTTTTTTTTAAGGGTTTTAAGACCAAATTAAGCTTCATTTAAGCTTTTTAATGCCATTTTAATCCAAATTTACTAGACATGAGCTTCCTGGCCGGGTTTTAAATATTCATTTTGTTAAAAATAGGTATTTTACAATATCTGTAATGGTATATCGGGGAAAACAAACTTTCTGGCGTATTTTTGAGCCGGCATCAAGCAAGCAAGATTTGTCTGTTTTGAGGATTTTATGCCGAATTTATTGAAATTTCGTATTTTTTCGTATTTCTAATGCTAAATTGACGAAAATAGAGTTTTTGAACGCATTTTCGGACCAAATTCAGTTAAAATTGGATATTTTGGAGCAGTTTTAACGCTAATTCCATGAAAATTTGTTGTTTTACAGGATGTTTTAATGCCAAATCGTTAAATTAGATGGATTTTGGCCATGGATCCACTCAGAAAACCGCAGTTAAAGAAATTTATTTCCCTTTTTTCAGGTGGGCAAAGATGGTTGGCATTACGGCGTGAGTGTGGGGGCATTTGTCGTGATAGCCCTGTTCCAATTGATCTGTTTCTTCGGATTGACAATTTCTGAGAAATGGACAAAGATTAGCCATTTTGGGCCCTCGTCGGCCGCCTCATTACGGTAGGCTGGGTCACATTTTATCGGACAACCAAGAATTTAGGCGTGAAAGAGTGGCTTCCCAGATTCGCACCGTCATCCACAAGATTATGTACCGCACGTTTTGTGAGTTTTTTCGCTTCTAAACATTGTAAGATTCGACAAAAGTTATTTTTGGGATATTTGATAGCGTTTCGATTGTTTTTTTTTTGCAATTAAGTATCGGGTTTTAAAATCGAAAAAAAGGGAACTGGAAATCGATAAAAATGAAGCAAGTTTTTGCGGCATATTTTTTTTGAATTTTCGGCGTAGTTTAACCAGAATTTAAATTGTTTTGAAACGTCTAGCCTATTTAACAATTTTATTAATTCTAAGAGCGTGATTTAACATTGAAATATTTTGGAACTCATTAAATTCGCCAAAAATTCCAGAGAATTTCGGAAATTGCCTTTTTTGCGGGGGTTTTAAAGGTATATAAAATTATTTAAAAGGCAAGAAAATGTCTAAAGTTTTTCAAGAAAAGTAATAAGTTAATCGATTAATAATGCGATGCATTTATTACAGTATGCTATGGTCTGTGTTCGGGCATCATTTGCATGCTGATTTTCTACATGGTCGGCATTCAGGTACGGTAGTTTCGGAATTGACTTTTTAATTTGGGTTTTTTAGTAAAAATCGTTAAATTCCGCGTAAAAACGTGTAGAAAACGTACCAGAAAGTTTAAAAATATCGAATTTTTCAGGACTCAATCGGGGATACCGTATCCCAGGTGTTCATCTACATTTTCGACGCGCTAATGATCATCTATTTCCTCGCATTTCCGTTGTGTACAATCATCTATCATCCACATGTTTATTGCTTTAAAAGGTACGCGAAAAACGAGGTTTTTATTATTCTTTTTATTGAAATTCTGCATTTCTAAAATTTCCTCAAGAATCTCTACAAGTTGACTTAAAATTTGAAAAATAGCCGATTGGCAGGCGAAATGACTAAATTTATGAAAAATAGCAACATTTTTTACAAAAATACGATTTTCAATAATTTGAAAACTTTAACAATTCCTCAAGAAACTCTGCCAGTTGCCTAAAATTTTGGTAAATAATCAACTGGCTGGCAAAGTAGTTATTTATAGAAATATATTTATAGAAATATAGAAATATATATTTATAGAAAAGTCAGGAATTCAAAAAAATATTTGCCAAGAAATTTCGAAAAAAATTCAAATTTAATTTAATCATTTTTAAAATACTTAAATGATCTCTGTTAATTATCTAAAATTCTCGCAATTTGTAAACTGGCTGTCAGAAAGTCTAAATCCCTCAAAAAATTAAACTTCTAAAACGAAAAAATCGCAAAAATGACAAATACCCCCGAATTCAGCCGTCCTCCCACGCAATCAGTCGACCCGGCAGATCCATCAATATCGCAGGGTGTTGCCCCTCTAGTCCACAATACTACAGCAACACGGCTGGCATCATTGGCTGAGGTACGGTAGCTTTCCCCAAGTGATCACTGCTATGGGTGTTCAGATTGCCGAGCCCTCTTCATATTCTGCATCTCCACTTCCATCTGCCGTTCCTCCACTCAGTTTTCCCAATTTTTCGGAACGTGATCGACCGGAGAGTGCGTTTTAAAGGGACTGGGAAGGATAGAATTTCGCAGCTAGCCAATTTGGCAAGCAGTATGATAGATTTTCGCAAAAGTCATTTTAAAGGAACTGGGAAGTCGTGAACCTGTCAATTAGCCAAACTGGTATGCAAATTATCGAATTTCGTTAAAAATGCACTTTTAAAGGGACTGGGAATTCCAAAAATTAAGCAGAAGTCAAACTGCTATGCAGTTTATCCATTTTCGCGAAAAATTTTGTTTTAAAGGGGCCAGGAGCCCTAGGATCTCGTCTTTGGCGAAACTGACAGACAATTTATTGATTTTCGCCAAAAACTCGGGTTTCAAGGGGCTAAGAAGGCTGGAACTTGACAACTAGCCGAACTGGCATGCAAACTAACGTTTCCAATCAAAAAATCGAAAAATCGAAAGCTTTTTACTAGGATTACGGCATCGTTCCAGGTTTATCCGGTCGAAGTACGCACAGTGCTCGTGAACCACCACAATTGGATAGAGGGATCGAGATAGAGCCATTTCGAAGAGGGAGCAGACAAACTACTACTGTATAACTTTTTATAAACACTAATGTTTTATTGCCAATTTGAAGCTTTATACTGTGTGATATTGCGCATGACATATCCCCTGTTTGCCTTCACAATAAACGGGTTTACACTATCGAGTTGTATATAACGAAAAACAACTGACAGAGTGAGGGAAAGAGAGAGCGCTAGCCAGAAAAACTATTTTACACAAAAATTCGCCGCCATAAGCCGTGGCCAAGTGTTTAGTGGGCGCGCCTCCCATCTGACGACGCAGGTTCGACTCCCGGCCGCTGCCAACTTTTTGCTTTTTGCTTCGAACGGTCAGAATCGGCTATCTTGTGGCTAGGAAGCGAGAGATAGATAGAGAGAGAGCGAGAGAGAGAGAGAGAGTGACATCACATTGTCAGTACCCCCGAGGTAACATTCCCTCCTTGGCAGCGCGACCTCAATCTGACCTCCCGATAAGTGGCGTCATTTTGTATATCCCCGCCCATTTCCGCAAAGAATCTCTGCTATCTTGCCCTGTCTATCCCTGGTCATTTTCAGATACTATCGCTCCATAAAAATGCTTCTCAACTTCCCAATCGAGAAATTGCCGCTCGTACCACAGGATCTAGTCTACAAAAAGGACGCCTCCAGGCTCTAAACTACGGCTTCGATCTGTTAATAAGGTATACAATTACTATAAGAATTCAGTAGTCGTGTCTGTCCGTCCGTCCGTCTGTCTGTCTGTCTGTCAGAAGCCAACTATAACTCAAGGGGGAAAGGAGCTAAAGCTTAGGTCTCTTCGGATTCGGATAGAGCGTGGTCAGAAACCCCAAAACCGATCAAGAACCGAATCTAAAAACTTCCTTTTCAAATTTATAAATAGATTTTTGTAATTTGGTAGCAAGAATGGCTACTTGCGCGATTTTGGGCATAGTGAGCCAGGTCGCGCGCGTTTCGGCGAGGGGCAGGGAGCGCAGGGGGTAGGGGTGAAGTCGACTTTTCCGCTGTAAGCGACTGGTAATGCAACAATTACGACTCCTGATGTTTTAGAAGATGAGGGATGGGCATCGATTACGCGATATAATGTCTGGCCCAGTACCAAATATTCGAATAGAAGACGGGAAACGACGGCGCGATGCGATGCGAATAGAGAAACTAAATGATCCATGGCCGTCGTTTGACGTGAACATCTTGTTTGATGGTATCGAAGAAGATGATGGGGAGAAGATACTTATCTCGATCTATTTCGAAGAGAGCGAAACAACGCCATCACTGGATTTTGAATACTGGCAAAGGTTGGCTTCCACGGTTCTTTTGCATCAACTTTTTTTCTTAGGATCTCATTTTTCCTATATAAATAATAGAAAGGTTTTTAAATGGTTTTACACAATTTTTCACGTGAAAATTTAACAAATTTGATTAAAAAATAATCTATATAATTATAAAATATCGATTTTTCGAGCAAGAAAGGCCGATTTTTGACCAAAATGTCGAGTTTTCCACATTTTCTCAAGCTTCTAGGAAGTTTCTCTAGTTAAAAAAGACCGTATTTTTAGCGAAGCAATGGATCGACAGCGGAGATCGTGGTATCTACCACGATTTCCACATCGACGAGCCGTCTACAATGGCCACGATAGCATTGGATTGATGAATCGTCTGCTGGCCAATTTCAGACCAATGCTATTGACGTTGTGTGATTTGGCATATGGGCCATTATCCGATCCATCCATTATTCATATTTGGAGAATACCGTATACACTTTCCGTGAAGAGATATGGGCTTGAGGGTACGTTTTATCCATTTGTTTTTTTGTATTGCCGCGTTGTTTTTGAATTTATATGAATATTGCAGGAAGCGGTTAAGTGCCTAGAAGAGACGTACAATCATCATAATCCACCCGGAGCAGGTGTTCTCTCTCTCTCTCTCTCTCTCTCTCTCTCGCTTTCTCTCTCACTATCCCACGCTCTCTTTCTCTCTCACGCTCTCTCACACGACTCTCTTCTGCTCTCTCTCTCTTTCTCTCTCTCCCTCTTTCTCTCTCTCTCTCTCTCTCTCTCTCTCACTATCCCACTCTCTCTTTCTCTCTCACGCTCTCTCTCTCTCTCGCTCTCTCTCTCTCTCTCTCTCTCTTTCTTCGCTCTCTCACTTAACTGTCTAACCCCCTTTCAGGTTCACATCAAATGCATGGCATTAGATGCGCATAGTTTCACCAGATTATTGGCCAAGGTCAGATTCTAAAATAATGATAAATCGCCTCGTTTCTTATAATAATCCAATCTTCTACCTTTTCAGCATTCCGATATCCCAATTCTGGATCTTGAAAGATTCTGCTCAACGGATGATGATGTTGATGTTGATAGTATTCGAGCGTTTCTTCATGCACTTCTCATTCAGGTATCCATTTCGCTGTCTTTGCCTCCGCGATTTCGCTAAATTTTGACGCAGTTTTATACAGGGTGTGCAAAAAAAAAGGACACAGTTTGGGTCGAAATAACTCGCGAACGGTAGAGAATCGAAGGTGCGTTGCCATGCCAGAATGCTTAAATATGCTGGGCATGAAGATTTAACACAACTTGATTTTTTCGATTTTTGGGTACGCAACTGTACTATTGACGCTGGTTACGACCGAAAATTGTGCGTTCTTGAATGGGTGGTGAGAAAATTCTGATTTTTGGCCTAAAATAGTATAAATTTGTAAAAATGTAATGGCAAAATCTTAGAATTTATCGAGGTCAATTTCATTTTTTAAAAGCAAAACAATTTTCGCGATTTTGCGTTATTTTTATTCTTTGAGTCATAACTCGCTTATAACTTGCTGCCCATGGCTGATATTTTGCCAATCACTTATCCAAATATTAATCTCGGATCCCACACCAGATTCCACCACAATCTATGGTATTTTTGTATTGCATGCTAAAACGCACCCCAGCGGGGTACTGTAGGTTTCGTTTTTCCCGCTTTTCTCGGGGCCCCTAGCTTCGATTCGGCTAAAATTTTCTGGGTTGTTAGGCAATAAGTAGGGGCACCTTACTGCCAAATACGAGAGCGTACTATCCACAAACTTTCATGAAAAAGACTAAAAACTGATTTTTTAATTCTGCCACAGAATCTTGTAAATTTTTTGGTCAGTTGGTCCATAAACCGCTTCTATTGGTTTTACAAAAAGATCGAAGCGATTCCATGGCAAAAACACCACAAAAATCGCAAATTTCGGTTTTCTACGGTAACCCCCGTGGAGCGCCTTTTAGCATGCCATCAAAAAATTCCATAAAGTGACGATTTTTCTATTCGAGGGCCTTCTAGAGGTGATTGTAAGATAGCCTGTAAAAAATTACTGATTTTTGGTGGTAAATAACAAAGTTACGAGGCCAAGTGCAAAACAAGGCCAGAGAGCCGATTTTTGGTCCGAGTAGCCGGGGTCAATTTTCGAATTTTTAAAAATAAAAAAACCAGCTGGATCTCATGGATGCGATTATAGCTTTGATGTTATTATCTACACCCGTAAAATTTGGGGGCAATCCGATTCATGATCATGGTGACTTTCAGCTCAAAATCGAAGATCACCCTGTTCCAAAATCAAAGTTTAGAAACCTTCTTAAATTTTTTGCGACGTGAAATTGCTTTAATCTTTGCATAGTTTGATTCACCTAATGGCACTGACTTATTTCTCAAAATATCCCTACGACTCCACTTTCAAAATTTTTTACGCAACCTCCAAATCGGTTTATTTCGGGTTTTGATGAATTTTCTTGGCGCCAACGGCTGGTTAAATAAATTCATGAACAAGTCTTTAGGATGCGCTATTCAACTGGTATCAGATAAAAATAAATCGATAATTTTCCACAGCACGACTAAATTTTATAAAATGGTGACAATATTAGGAAAAAGCACGAGCCAACCGTTTTGGAGGCCCTAAACGACGCCCTTCCAAAGAGGCGGTAGATCGAAATTTTGTAGCTGATAGATCAACCCCAGTACTACATAGTTAAGCAAAAAAATAGCTGAGTGCCCTTTGGCAATTTAGAAATATTTTTCCAAAGTTCAGTTTCGAGGACCTCGAAAAATCCATGACCAGGGGTCGTTGAAAAACTCAAAAATTCGTCGATCTCGAAAATTTTTTTAATATGTTTATGCAATTGTGCATCCCTCCGTAGATATTCTACAACTAATTCTTTTGACATTTCCACCATAAGTTTTTAATATCGAAAAATTACAGAATTTCTTCATACAAAATTTCGTTCCTCTATAACTATTTCAACAGACCCTCAAAATCCTTAAGATTTTGTAGGTGCATATCTGCTGCCCACATTAACTTACTCACTAAAAATTAGAAGCCAGTCACCACAGGAAGTACGAAAATGCAAATTAAGTTTGCCCCGAACGCGTTTTCGGGGTGTCATTTGTGTGGTACATTGCAAAAATCGAAAAAATCAAGTTGTGTTAAATCTTCATGCCCAGCATATTTAAGCATTCTGGCATGGCAACGCACCTTCGATTCTCTACCGTTCTGAGTTATTTCGACCCAAACTGTGTCCTTTTTTTTGCACACCTAAATGCAGAATTTCACTGACAAAACGTCGATTTGGCGCGTCGGGACCCATCAGGTTCCACGACGTAAGACGAGAGGCTGTCCCGAAAAAACCCTTTCGGCATTTGGCCGTCTTCTATCAGTTCGGGCCCAAATTTTTACCAGTGATGGGGGACCATAAAGACTATGTGCGGCCAAATTTTCCTAAACAAAAAGTGCAAAATAAAGATTATTGCTAAAAAACTGCTTTTTTTGAAACGCTGCTACTCATTTTTGGCAAAGTTTTCGCAATTCTGAATGAACGGTCAATGTCGCGCATTTTAGCACCCTCCGATCGGCAACAAACGGTTATTTCGTTTGATTATCAGGCGGAACGAAATGGCGACGGTTGCCGGCATGCAATGATCCGGTATTCTCATATTTACCAATTTAGAAGTTACGGGAAAATATGGCGGAAAAAACCGAAATCCAAAAATACACCCAAAAATTTCGACATATTGAAATTTCGATATTCTGATACATTTGCGAAATGCGGAAGAAGTGAAATAAGATTTTAGATGTTATTTTCCATCTTCTGTTTCAGCTGTATCGACAGTGATTGATCCCCATCTGGTGACGAACGAACTGAAGAAAATCAGCGCAAATACAACAAAACAAGATGCAATGATTATCGATTATCAACCGGAAATCAGCTCTCCCCGACAGTAAACGTGGGCCATTTTCTCGCATTGTTTACCTGATTTTGGTGGCGAATTATTGTGGTTGCGCAAATTTATCGTCAAAACATGGCGGCTGTACGAAAGAATCTATCCACAGATCATATCTTCCCGTTCAAATGAGAATTTTCTTGTTGGCACCACGCGGGAAATGGTCGTTTGAATGATTGGCCATTCTTTGTACGTAACGTTGCGATTTGAATGATAAAATGTTCTTGTAACAATCTAACAATGCTAACAAAAAACCAACAAAAATATAGCAGCTTGAATGCTGTTCCCTGAGTGCAATTTTTCAGCTAATAATTGTCACGATTTTAGCGGATCAGAGAATTTGCTCATATGATTATTAAACTTGTATTTGATTTTCCAGATAGAATAATAGAATAGAATAAAATAAAGATGGAATAATGGATAACCTATCGTAGGTTTGCCAAATTCCTGAATGAGTGCATGTATTTCTGATAGCATCCAAAAAGCGATGAAAAGGATGGTACAGGGGGGGGGGGGGGGGGGGGGGGGGGGGGGGGGGGGGGGGGGGGGGGGGGGGGGGGGGGGGGAGAGAGGGGAGAGGGAAGAGGAGAGAGAGGGAAGAGGCGAGAGAGTGAGAGAGAGTGAGAGAGAGAGAGAGAGAGAGACAGAGAGATAGAGGGGCAGAGAGAGACAGAGAGAGAGACAGGGCAGAGAGAGAGTAGGGACAGAGGGACAGGGACAGAGCGAGAGAGAGGGACAGGGAGAGATAGAGACAGAGACAGAGACAGAGCGAGATAGAGAGGAAGAAGAGAGGGTAGAGGGCAGAGACAGGCAGGGAGAGGGCGAGAGAGAGGGCGAGAGAGACAGACGAGACAGAGAGAGAGAGAGAGAGAGAGAGAGAGAGAGAGAGCAAGAGAGGTAGAAGACAGGAGAGAGAGGGAGCAAGAGGTAGAGAGACAGAGACAGGCGAGAGAGTGAGGATGCGAGAGAGATAGAGAAGGCGAGCGAGAGAGAGTGAGAATGCGAGAGAAGAGAATAGTTTCACCTACCCTGCGGCAACATTCCCCTCTTCCCGCGTAACCTCATCCTGACCTCATAATAATTGGCGCCATTCTCGTTTCGAACAGATTGCATTAATCAATAGGCATACCCAGATAATCTTAGCTAGTTTCCTCATTATATCCGCATCCAGATTATTTGCAAAATCAATACCAAATAAAAGAAGATGCATCTCAACTTCCCGCGCTCGAGAAATTGCCGCTCGACCTACAAGATCTAGTCTACAAAGATGCCTCCAAACTCTAAACTACGACTTCGGGCTGTCGATGAGGTATCGAATTATTGCCTTTACACAGTTTCACATACAAAAACATTATAAAATTTATAAGAACTACCAAAATGATTAAAAACTTTTAGAATTTCAAACATTAA